TCCTCACTTGTAAAAAATGTATGCTTTAAAATGTATCAACATATTAAACAAAATTGGTGCTCAAAAATATATTCTGAATAATGAATGAGTCTAGAAAATTTGGTCAAGGTATATGGCTGAATTTTGGTAATTTAAGCACAAAAGGAACTCTACATGTAAAAAATAAATCAAATATTGTTAGAAATGATGTATCTGTATATTTGACTGATCCTTTGCTTTTAATGAGAAAAACACTTGGAAGTTGTAAGATGAGAAAGTGAAGGACAGAGAATTATAAGGTGATATTACCTGGATTATGGACATTGTTAATGTGATCTGAATAGTAGCTCACATCCCAACTTTTCCTACATTTGTTGGTCACCGTCTGTGATTCTGGTTAGCTGATGAAAACACATTTTCTTCCCTCAGAGATCAGGTACATCTGAGGGATTTTTGTTATCACATCTGTGCTCTCTGGAGGCCGAAATGTTTGGCAGAATAGAGTCTGAACAAGCCTAAATTTACCTTTAAGTTAGAAGAAAAGCAGTGCTGAGAATTGAGACATTCTCTCAAAGTGTCTACTGGCTCCAGTGGCCAAGTTGCTGGAGAGTAATTATTCGGATATTTACTTCTTTTGCACTGTAAATTCTCCTGCTCAGTTTAATGGAGGAAACCAATTATCAATGAAATGTTTGTAATATCCTCAATTAGCTTTTACTCCTAAAAGGGAAAAATTCGAAGAATGGGCTACAGGAAGAATTGAGTTGTGTCCAGAGAGATTAGGTCCTAGACGTATGTAGCCTCCTGGAGCCTCTGCTTGGACATAACTTCAGGATGCCTCACATGGTCACTGCATACGCTTGCATCCCGCCCCTCCTCCTACATTCCCCACTTGTCCCTTCAGCCTGATCTCATAATAAATTATAAAATTTGCATATATATTATGTAAACATAATAACTTATACATATTGTAATAATATATGACCATAATAATGTATGCTTATTGTTTGTTTCCACCAGCTAAAGTGTAAACTTTAGGAGGGCAGGGATTTTATGTTTCATTCATTGATATATAAAACATGCTCAGAAGAGTGCTTGGAGCATAATAGGTATTCAGTTATTTGTGGCAAGACTTCTCCCCCAGGGGAAGAAAAGAATAATTAAAGGGTGCTTTCTGAGACAAAAGCAAATAAGGAATACTAAGCTTATTGAATAATTTATCGGAATTCATTGTGAAATTTTTGAGAAGATGATTATTTCCTTTCATGTGCTACTCTTTATACTTTAGGTTCCCTCCAGGGAGCATGTTGGGCTGATTATTCCAGGAAGTAAAGCTTAGAAGATAAGGGCACTTATTTTATTAAAGCAAGAGAAAGAAGAAAGAAGAGGGATGCATTGACTCATGGTTAGGGGATTTCTAAGGAAATGGCCATTTCTCTGCTTTATGCAGAAGAATTTTGTATTCTGTTTAACAGTTATGAATTGATGACTTTCTGAAAATCTAAGTGCATTACAAAAATTTATGTTGTTTGATTTATTCCAGTTGGAAGAAAAAAAAATAGGGCATAGTGAGAGCATGAGTAAATTTGTTCTTTATTATATATTTAATTTAAAAATTTTTATATTTTATTAGAATACCCTAAATCAGAGTCTTCAGAATTCCAGTGTGTTGACCAATGCTGTTTCCTAATAAAATGTTAGTTGTAAAATAAGAAAAATTAGTTTCTATATATCCTGCAAATCAGCAATTCCATTTCTAGGAATTTATTCTAGAATAAATTAGAATTTAATTCTAAACCTAGTATTTTTACAGAGAAATAGAAGTATTAGCTACAAAGATACTGATTGCAAGATTTTGTTTGGACTTGTGGGAAAAAAGTATTTAATATCGACTAAAACTTCAACATGCCTAACCAATGCAATTTTATGTAGTCGAGGTATAGAAATATATTTATTGACATGAAAGGATGTCCATCAAATAGTAAGTCAAAAAGGAGGTTTAAGAACTGTATGATCTGGCATGTGTTATATACAGTTATTTTCAAGCATAAACAACTTGAATATGATATTTGCAGTGAGTGAGTGAGTAATAGTTCCTCAGGTGTGTGCAACTCTGTGACCCCATAGACTGTAGCCCGCCAGGCTCCTTTCTCCATGGGATTCCCCAGGCAAGAACACTGGAGTGGGTTGCCATTTCCTTTTTCAGTATTGGCAATGTAGACACATAATGCTTCAGGAGCTTAGAACATACTTTTGTATTCTCTCTACAGCTGTGGAAGGAGCTTCCATTTTAGAAGAGAGGGGTTTTTAAAAAGTTATTATATTGAAGTATAGTTGAGTTCAGAGAAGGCAATGGCAACCTACTCCAGTATACTCTTGCCTGGAAAATCACATGGACAGAGGAGCCTGGTGGGCTGCAGTCCATGGGGTCGCTATGAGTCCGAAATGACTGAGCGACTTCACTTTCACTTTTCACTTCCATGCATTGGAGAAGGAAATGGGCACCCACTCCAGTGTTCTTGCCTGGAGAATTCCAGGGACGGGGGAGCCTGGTGGGCTGCCCTCTATGGGGTCGCACAGAGTCAGACATGACTGAAGTGACTTAGCAGCATAGTTGAGTTACAATGTTGTGTTAATTTCTTCTATACAGCAGAGTGATTCAGTTATATATATATATAATTTCCATTCTGGTCTGTCACAAGCTATTGAGTACAGTTACCTGTGCTGTGCAATAGGACCTTGTTGTTTATCCATTCTGTATAAAATAGTTTGCACCTGCTAATCCCAAACTCCTACTCCATTCCTCCCTGGAGAGAGATGCTCACGTGCTTTCTGTGATTTGTCCAAGTTCATTCGACAGGTGAATCCTGGGCTCTGAAATTCACATCTCTGTGCCCACCAAAATCATGCATTTCCCCCTACATGTACTGTTGTGGAACTGCAGGTGTATACAGGGTCCACTCTGCAGAACATACAGTGTCTGGGGGAATCTCCATCCTACCTGAACATCAGCTGTCCTACTGTTTGGGGCACACACTGTGTCATGGCCGCAGACCGCTGTTGTGACAGCCCTGCTTGGAGGAGGAGAAGGCAGTGAGGCTGAGGGGTGGCATGGAGGAGCCATGCCAGCCTCTGAGGTGACAGTACACCCAGTTTCCTTCTGGAGCTTCAGGGGCTGAGACAGCTGGGTTGGGAATCAAAGGTGCAGATGCATGCTCCACCTGTGTTTGTGTCTCACCCAGACAAGGTGTCTGACACCTCAGGACACTGAACAATGGATTTTTCCTCCTCTTTAGATGCTGGTTTGAGGAAAATGGGCTTCCCTGGTGACTTAGATGGTAAAGAATCCTCCTGCAATGCTGAAGACCCGGGTTTGATCCCTGGGTCAGGAAGATCCCATGGAGTAGGAAATGGGAATCCACTCCCCTATCCTTGCCTGGAGAATCCCATGGACAGAGGAGCCTGGTGGGCTACAGTCTGTGGGATTGCAAAGGATCAAACATGATTAAGTGACTAACACTTCATTTGAGAAAAATAATCCCAATCCTATCAAAATAAATATATAATCATGACCACTATTCAAATGATAATTCTGATTTCCTTTCACTAACTCCATGTGCATTTTGAGCTGCTGCATTTATTATGCGACGGATATAATGGAAGATATCTCTCCATTGGGCACCTCAGACTCATGTTTAATACGAAGCTCTGGATCTTATCTCTTGGTCTGCATCCCACTGTCTGTCCCAGTTCAGCTTCTGGTGACTGCAACCTTCAGCTGCTCTGGCCAAAATCTGTGTCCTCTGGTGTCTTTCCCTTTCTTCCTGTGTCCAGTTCATCAGGAACGTGTGGAACGTGTCTTCAGATTCACTGGGGTCAGGGTCACTTGCTCCCTCCACTGCTTTCACCCTGTCATCAGTCTTTCTCACCTGAATGTGCCAGTGGCCTCTTAGCTGGTCTCCTCTGTCCCTGCTCTGTTCTTGCCCTGTCCTTTCTCTGACTTTGCTCTGTCTTTGCTATTACATTGCTATGACCTTTTATGACCTTACTATGTCTTGCACTGACCTTGCTATGACCTTGCTCCATCTCTGATGTGATCTTGCCCTGTCCTTCTCTGACCTTGTTATGACATTGCTCTGTCTTACCTTGCTCTGACCTTGCTCTGACCTTGCTCTGACCTTGCTCCATTTTATACGCCTTCAGTCCATGCCCAGTGCAGCTGGAGGGTCCATCCCCTCATTGAGGCCTCCGTTGTTCCGTTGTTCCCCCCATACCCCGCTAGTGCTTTGCACCTGAGTTTCCCCGGCCTCTCAGGGCTCCCTGCAGAGATGCTTCACACCTGTCTCCACTGCCAGCTTCTCCATGATGCTTCTGGTTTTGTGCTTGATCCCCCCCGCCCCCCACCACCTTGCCCAGCTTTACTTTTCTCCAAACTGATTACCATTATCTATCATCTATCTGTCTGTCTATCATCTATCCATCTATCATCTGTGTATCTGTCCATCTACAGTTCAGGATCTCAAAGAGTCGGACACAACTGAGCGACTGAACTGAACTGGACCTCTCTATCTATTTAATATGTATCTTAGCTTTATGCTTCTTCTGTCCCCTGTTCTAGAATACATTTGTCCCAAGAACTCCCTACTTTATCCCACTAAAGGGTGAATCTCTAGGGCCTCTAACTGTGCCTGGGACACCTAGGGACTCAACACATGTTTGCTGACCGTTTACGTAATCAAAAGCTATTTCTTGATTATATTCATTATCAGGTATAGTTTTGGGCATTAGAGTACTATATGAATGTTATTCTTGTTAAAATTACTCAAATATATCATTTTTAATTTGGGGAGGGAGATGTGAAATAAGATTTTTTTGATAGGTATGTGTCATTGATTTAAACAAATTTGCCAAACGTGAATTCTCTTTCAAATAAAAAGTCATTTTTATATGATCCTTGTAGGTGTAGCATCTGTTCTTTCCTTTCAACTTTTCACCCTGTCTGCCTTGTTTTTATTTTCTAGAAAAGAGGCACAATTAGATGAAGAAGGACAGTTTCTTGTCCGAATAATTTATGATGATTCTAAAACATATGATTTGGTTGCTGCTGCAAGCAAGGTCCTCAGTAAGTTGAACGTGACTTTCTTTCTTTGGCTAAGCTGCACATCGATGTCCAAGGGCATGAATGGTCCAAGGTCACATTGTATAGTTGCACAGGTTGTGCACTGCACAACCCTGATGGGCGGACAGTCACATATAGTATTAGGCTCAGGCTACACTGAATCATGTTATTCTTTTTACAAACTCTTTAGAGAATAGAGGAGCTCTCTGCCCCTCCCCACAAAAAGCCATGTGTCGAGGAAGCAAAAAATTATTGATACTTAATGTAATAAGTCAGTGATGTTGTTAATAACTTAATGTTGCCATGTCAACATCACAGTAATTACAAAAATGTAATATGTAGAAAATCTTATCTCCAAATCTCTTTTGTAATCACAAGTTTTGTTAGGTAATGGTAAAAGAAACAAGAAACTGAGAGCTACATGAGACAAAACTCATGTAAAGAAGGCAAAGTCAAAAAAAAAAAAAAACTTCATTGGAAAAAAGTTGTTCTCAAAGTAGTATCTCCTATCATTGTAGCACTTAATTTATAGTGAGGCTACAGTTTGCATAGACTAGATGGATGCTTTTTAGCTTTGTCAAATACAGCTAGAAGAGAAAATGCTACCTTTTGTAAAATACAAGAATTACCATAAAAGTATAGTAAATTGTTAATAATAAGAAGAAAAATATCCAGCATCACTAGTAATCAAAATTGACACAAATATGAAATAATTTTTATATAAATTTGGCAATTAGCAAATTAAAAATCTAGTGTAGTCAAGGGTAGAGTTAAAGGGGAAATCATACACATTTAAAATCTGATGGGAAAATAAACTGTTTTGGAGGATAATTTTGCATCAGCAGTCAAAGTCTGTTTAAAAATGTTCAAATTTTAGATATATTTAGAAAATTTTCATAAAGAAATAATTAGATTTATTTGCATTAAGAAGTATGTGTATTTTCATTTCAGAGTTACTTATATTATCAAAAGTTGGAAAAGCCTGCATTTTGAGCAAGTGGGCATTGGTGAAATGAATTGTTGCAGAGCTGTGTTAAACAATACTGATTAAAATTGATATTAAGAAAAATTTTAATTTTAGAAAATAACAGCAATTCAATATTAAGAAAAAGGCAGGATCTTAGGCTATATATTATTTGTAACCTGGTTATTAAATATGCATATTTTTATAAAGAAAAATGATTTTGCACCCAAATATCTGCCTGGTGGCTCAGACAGTAAAGAATCTGCCTGCCAGTGTGGAAGACTTGGGTTCAGTCCCTAGGTTGGGAAGATATGCTGGAGAAGAGAGTGGCTTCAAACTCTAATGTTCTTGCCTGAAGAAGTCCATGGACAGAGGAGCCTGCCAGGCTAAGGTCCATGGGGTCACAAAAAGATACAACTGAGCAACTAACACTTTCACTTTTCATCTTCATGTGCATTCTTGATGATTTTAAAGATCTTTCTCTTATTTTTCAGAAAAAGTAAGTTATGCCTTACATATAAGTTTGAAAAAGCTCAAAGTTTTGTCACAGAACCCGAGAAACTGGTTGCTTTGCTCTTAAGTACAGACTTAAACTGTTAACATGTCAATATGTTGTCTTCTCAGATTTCATTGTATTTTCCTGGCCAGATATTTTTCCTATGATCTGTTCACTGTGCAAAGAAATTGAAGATATTTAACATTTTTGTCACGCACTTATCTTTATTCCTGCCTCTAATGATTTTCTACCTCTAATACATTTTGTTTCTGTTGTTGCCTCTCAAATCTATAAACTAGATCTCAATGCTGGAGAAATCCTCCAAATGTTTGGGAAGATGTTCTTCGTCTTCTGTCAAGAATCTGGTTATGATACAATCCTGCGGGTCCTGGGATCTAACGTCAGAGAATTTCTGCAGGTGAGCAGTTTGAGGTCCTGGTCCAAAAGTTCTGATTTTGTTAATCTCTCATGTGGGCTCTAGAATCCCTTTGTTCAGTTGGCTTCATGAGTGTCTAGCTGCTGAAATGAAATCATAGGGACATTTTCCCTAATTCACATAAAATAATAAGTATTAGATGGTCAAGTACATTTTAGCATTTTTCCTTCATATTTTTACTTTAATTTTTGGTTCTGACACTAAACATTCAAGTTCTAAGAGTGGTCTCTGAAAGTCTCAACGTGTTGTGATCCGTTCAACTGCCTTTTAAAAAGTAAGTCTTTGTGCTAGTAGCTGTGCTTTTATGTATATAACCTGGGCTTGTTTTCTATTTCTAAGTCATTCTGACTTTAAGTAATTAAATAATTCATCAGTATCTGTAAAGTTCTACCTGAAGCTCATTGTTTCAGGGAAAGAGCCTATCACCAAAACAGGTTTAAGAATCATTGCTCTCAGTTACATATTAGTTAATCTACTCTGGAGAGGAAAATAGGAACTCTTCCAGAGTCAGTCTCAGGTGAAGTCAAGATAAATAATGTCACCAAAGGCTTTTGTTTTCTTGTTAAAACTACTTAATTTTTTTCTTTTTACTAGTGAATGACACCATCAGGTGGGAGACTATTTTGGGATCAACTGTCCTATTTTAAGCACAGGCATTTTTGAGACTCTCCTCTTAAAATGTGCTAACATTGAACATTATGTGGTTGTTTGTAAAGAATATTTCTAAACTGGCCGCTGAGAGCAGCCAGATCTTGCTGGAAAATGATGTCAGTGCAAGACCAGCTGAACTGGAGCCCAGCTTGGAGGGAATGTAAACGACTTTCAGTCCAGCTGCGTTATTGATTTAACAGCCAAAATAAGAACTTGAGTGTTTAATCAAAATGTCTGTTGTTTACATAGTGACATTTTTCTTATAAACTTAAAACAGCATTAAATCAAGATGGAAACCAGTTTCCAGTCTCTGCCATGGATTTACCAAACTACTGGTGTCCAAAAAAACTGCCACTTCTAAATGAAGTCGCTGCCAGGAGATACTTAAATTAACCTTTAACAGGCTGTATTTAAATGAATTATTTTACATGGATTAAAGTTAGAGATTTAAAAATATTTTGAGATTTGGGGGGTTAGAATGCATTCCCATTTTTAATATTTCTGTTGATTCCTGGTCACTTTCTTAACTAAGTTCCAGTTGCAATTCCTTTCTCTTAATTTTATCTTTCTCTCTCAATGGTCACATCTGTGTTGACAAAACAATCATGCAAATAGTTTATTTTTACCTTTACTCACTGTCACTGTCTGCTAAGTGTCCAGTGGCTCAGCTGAGGACTGGAGACTCCTGGTGGTTTCTTCTGGTTCTAGAGCTGTCCTGCCTGCAGGCTCGCCTCTATGTGACTAGGGTAAAATGCATACTGGGCTTCAAAGAGAATGCAGATAACTCGGGCCTGTTTCCTATTGATTACATGGTAAAATGATAACATTTTGGGAATACTGAGTTATATAAAAATGTATCGTAAACATCAATTTCACCTGGTTCTTTTCCCTTTTTTAAATGTGGCTACGAGAAAATTTAACATATATGACTGATGTTTGTGACTTGCTTAATGGCTCCTAAGTCTTTTATTTTCACTGGACAACATTATTTTAAATAGTTCTGAGTCCGTTTTCATCAAGTCAATAGGCAGTTTTAAAATTGCACACAATTTTATTACTATTATTATTTTTTTGGTGCAAGTATGAACAGTAAGGAAACTGTAAAGTTAGAATACTATAAAGTTTTCATCAATATTGTTTATGTTTGAATTTCTTCCTGGTTTTAAATTGAATATCTTGATGGCAAACGTTGTATTAGCATATTGCTTTCCTGAAAAGTAGATATTTATGATATGAGGAGGCTAATTTCAAATAAATTAAATGGACTTAAAAAAAAAGTGCCTATGAAATAAAGCAACTGATTTTCATAAAGTTTTTTAAGATTCTAGTTCACATATAAAAATTGACACTTTTCATTACATAAAATAATAAAACATTCTTTATGGTAGACATCAATCCTTTGTAAAAGAATAGGATAAACTAGGCCTTATTTTAAAGATATTTAAAACTTTCTTTTGAGTCTTTCAACACTTGACTTTAACTAATCATTGAATAGAGTCTGTTTCCTAAACACTGAATTTTTCAGAATCCTACCACTTGTCTTCATTTCCCCTAGCCTTCCGTGGGACATTCCACCATTCTCTACAGAATGCATAGGTTTCCTCATCTCTCTGCCTGACTCCATCTCCTTGCCATTCTGTAACTAGTGATTTTTCTTAAAAGCAAATATATCTCATTCCATCATTTACTTGCTTAAACCCTTCAGTGATTCCCAGTTGCTCCTTGGAAATGTAAAAAGCAATTAAAATAATTGAAACTACTTACACCCCCATCTACCTTTCTTCCTCTCCTGCAGCTCAGCCAAACAGAATTTCTTTCAGACTATATTTTTTTTCTAACTAGCTTTCTCCATCTTCTGAGCTTTTGCACCTGCTCTTCCATTTGTCTGGACAGTCTTCCTGCTCCTTTTCACCTAGATTGACCTTCTTCCTTCTGCTGGTCAGATTACTTTTTCCGGGAAGGTTCCACTCCTCTGTTAAGTCTCTACCCTGTTGGAGTCAGGGAATTGACATTTCTCATGTTTTCATAGTGTGTGTATCTCCCTACCCACAGGAGTTCTCACTGTAGATCATTTCCTGTTTGGGACTGCAATGTAAATCCCATGAGGCTGGAGGTTGTGTGTAGTCCTTTAATGATAGTATCATCACAGATACTATCTGGGAATGAAAAAACATATTTTAAAAACGAATAGTTGCTGTTTATACAAAAATAGGAAGCATATACCCCAATAGCTCAAGATTAATTCTATTAAGGGCAAAAAAAATTCATTTTGAGTGAGACTATACAGCTTTACTAAGAGATTCATTATAGATTGAAATATAGAAGAGTAGACATGCTCTAGACCAATTTCCTTTTCATATGGACATGGCAAATTACTGTTTATTAATAAATATGCAACTAACATTACTTATATCTATTGAAATTTTCAAAATGTTTACCCTGACATTTCCATCTGAAGCTCTCAGGTAGCAATAAAATAGCTACTGAAATTCCAACACGGGAGGCCACTGGCCATGCCTTGGGCCAGGCACCTCTTATTCACTTGCATCCTTCTGAGGGGTACTTCCTTGGGGTTGTCCCAACCTCTCAGTTATTAAGAATTACTGTATTAAAATACATATCTTTTGCTTTTTTCGAAATAATTTTTGTGTTTTCTGAGTACCAGGCACAGTATATAGCAGGCGATCAATAGTCTTTGAATGATAGAATTAGTTAATTCTGAGTTTTATTTGGCCACTAATAGGCTATTTTATTTGGTTAATAATGCTATTCCTTTATAAAAATTTTATAATCAAGGATATGCTGTGTAGATAGTATCTGTAGTTCAGTTCCATAAAAATATTTGTTTCTCACTTAGCTTTTGTCATTTCCTTTGATTCGTGTATTTAAACAATTTGACAATTTAAACGGCTTAAATAATGGACAATTATCCTTTGAAAGGTTTTGCTGCCAATATAAAATTCCTGGTTCTGTTTACCCAATCTCCCTGTGTTTTCAAAGTCAATTTAAGAATTTTTACATCATGTCTATTTTTAATCTACCTCAAGACTTTCACAAAAAATAGCTAAAAATTCTAAGTATGTAAAGTAATAAAATATAAGAAACATTTTTAAGGGAAGCTTTTTAGAAAATTACTCTTCTCTAGACATTACACAATTTGGAATTGATTTTTCTTAAATGTCTGTGAGACCATCAGTTTGTGGACTGCATATAAAAGTAGATAATCCTTGCAATTAATTATTATCCTTTTCATAACTTAGTAACCAGAAATATGATTTATTATAAAAAGATAAACAAAAGTAAGAAGACATTTTGATTTAGGTTTTTGGATTTTATAGATTTTTTCCTGAATTTCTTGTCTTAAAGGTTAGACTGTATTTCACAAGAATTTTTTTCTCTATTTTGCCACTTTCTTATTCTTGAATTAGGAATAAAATGTGGTTTCATGTTGCTGCTGTAGTAAATTTCTATGTGAATCTTCTAGTGTATTGATTAAAATAGTGCAGAAAATAGATTTGAAAGCTCAATAAAACTGCTGGTAAGGAATGTCCAGTCTGATGGTATTCCACCCTAATCCACGCTCACCGTGACTTTTGATATCCTACGCTCACCTTGACTTTTGATATCCTATTGCATTGTTGCAGGTTGTCTTTTCCAAAAATTGCTGCAATATGATTGTACTTCTCCTCCATGACAAGTTAGAGCTCCCCCATGTCCCCCATGACAAGGTAGAGCTCCCATCCCTTGGATCTGGGGTGACTTTAGTGATTATTTGATCAGAAGAGTGTAGCAGAAGAAACATTCTTAATACTTCCTAGGCTGGTTCATAAGAACTCTTCAAATTTTCGTGAGTATCTCGAAGCACTTGCTCTTGGGATGTTCCCTGGAGGTACCCACCATGAAATGAGGTGCTTCAACCACAGCAGCGGTGCTGCTGACTGAGCCCTCGGGTGTCTGGGTGACCCATCCTAGCAATCAGCCTGGTGGAGCATTATGGTGACTCCATGGCAAACGTCCATGTCGCCCCACTCTGAGAACTTCCCGCTGAGTCCAGATAACCCACAAAAACATGAGAATAATATCATTGTGTTAAGCTAATAAGTCTGAGGTGCTTTGATATATAGATAATTGGAACAGTATTCTGTGTGCTATTTTCCCCTTTATTTTTTGTGTCTGTGTTAGTAGGTATATGTACATATGTACACGTATTTACAGAGAAGTTGAGCTTTGATTAATCTGGGTTTGAAAAGATAAGATTGCATATGGTGTCTGGGACTGGAATCTATGAGTCAGTTCGTAGCTGGGTTACTGATCCACTTTCAGTGGTGTTA